AAGGTGCAAATGTTCATCAAATCCTAGAAGAATCCCTGAAGCTTGAAAGAGTTCCATTCTGGACATTAAAAGAAGTGTGGTGAAATCACGACTAGCCAGAATGCTTAAGCTTAGTTAACTGAATTCTCTGTTTAACCAAAGGTAGGAAAGTTTGTTTTAAGGCCTCTCTTATAGAGAAATCTGGTTTCTTAATTTAAGGACCAAAGACTATGAACTCTTGTTTTGTACCATTATACAAAATGAGAGCAGAGTTTCCTCAATCCAGAGATCAGGATAGAGCTTTCTAAAGTCTGGGTAAAAATAAGGATGAAATAAAATGGAGGAAGGAAGGGATGACCAATTAAATATTTTCTCATGTTTAAAAAGAATAAATATGTCCATTCCAAGAGAAAAAATATTTATCTACAGAAAAGATAAGCAGGATATGAAATGCAAGCCATTTTATTTGATATAAAAGTAGAGGCACAACCTATATTCCATCTTAACTATGGACTACCATACAGCTCCCTGAGAATCAGCCTCCTTGCCACATAGCAAGGCCCAGTGACCCTTCTGAACCCATCACCTGTACTTTTAGGGAAAGACTAAAAAGTCCTAAGAAGCAAAAGATGTTGTCACACCAGAAGATCCAAAGGTATGTCAAAAATAATTCCTAGATCACAGGACCTTCTCAAGTAAAATATGAACACATAATGTTTATAATTCTTGTTAATTCAAATCTATCGAGGCTAAATCATGGCTACTGGACTATTCACTAACTTGAGGATGGCAGACATTTGTATAGGTGTGTGCATGAGAATGATCCTTCAACAGTGACAGAAGATTATCATCTGAACATCAAATCTCATTGTACAAAATTTGAGTTATAGGAAGGGTAGATGAATTAGGCTAAATTTATCCTTATACATAGTCCAAAAAATATCTTTCATCTGAATCATTTCTAGTAACTCTTTGGTCTGTGGTCATTTTTCGTCTTCTCGGAAAATCTAAATACTAAATAGAACTAATTCTATGAAGACTCCTGGATGATTAGGTGTTTATAGCTAATGTTTCTCTGTGAGAACTTACATTAATAAAAAACTCACAGGGGCACCTGGGTGGCACAATCAGTTAAGCGTCTGACTCTTGGTTTTAGCTCAGGTCATGGTCTCATGGGTCATGAGATCAAGCTGTGCTTTGGGTTCTGTGCTAGGCTCAGAGCCTGCTTAAGATTCTCTCTCTCCTTCTCCCTCTGTCCCTCCCCACCACTCAGATGTGTGTGCGTGCTCTCATTCTCTTAAAAAAAAATTAACTGAGGGGCACCTGGATGGCTCAGTGGGTTAAAACCTCTGCCTTCGGCTCAGGTCATGATCCCAGGGTCCTGGGATTGAGCCCCTCATCGGGCTCTCTGCTCAGCAGGGAGCCCACTCCCTCCTCTCTCTCTGCCTGCTTCTCTGCCTACTTGTCATCTCTGTCTGTCAAATAAATAAATAAAATCTTTAAAAAAAAATTAACTGAAACTCTACATTGATGATAATGAATAAAGAAGCAAAAGTCATCAAGATAAAAAATATATTAACTAATGAAGAGATCTCAGATAAAAATGTCATCACTCACACAAGTCCTCCACTTTAACATGAGTTTGTATCCCCACCCAGTATGTCAGTCTTAAGGAAAATCATAGACAAAAGACACTGATAAATGATCTGACGGAGTTCTAACAGCTAGTAAATGGAGAATAAAAAACTGACTAGGATGAAGACAGAGACACGGGGACAAAAATAAAGGGAAAACTGACAAAGCCCTTGGTGTATTTTTTAATGAGCCTCTTTTTTTTTTAATCTCCAAAAAAAGGTAACACTTGATTCTTTTTTTCTAAGGAAGAGCAAATAGTTGCTATTATAATCCAAATTGTGTTAACTATAAGATAAAGTAACTTATTTTTATTATTTTTGTTCCATTTTCCCAACTTAAAGTTCCAGTCTAACTTTTTATTTACTATTAAAGTTTGGTTCCCATTTTAGATAGGATAGATAGATAGATATTATCCTGGGATAAAAAGAACAGCTTGAATTAAATAGTGGTCTACCTTAAAATGTACTTTCAAAAACATTTTATACAAATTTGTGGATAAATATGAATTTAATAAGAAAATAGGAGATGATCACAATCTTTTAAAGCTAATAGAAGATAATATATACTCTCACAAAATATCCCTTGATATTATCAGTATGAGAATACTTGACTAGCCTGAATGCAAATCAGACCAAGTTCAGATTCTATTTCAGTGTAAGCGTTTTTATAGGATTATTTCATGATCTTCACAAAGATTTTTAAACACTGGGTTTAGAACATTCACTATCATAATAACAGCAGAATATTTTTAGAGTAACTAATAAATGAGATTAATGAGAACTGTATGACAATAAGGAATTAAGATGAAACTCTATTTTTTTAAAAAGATTTTATTTATTTATTTGACAGAGAGCGAGATCACAAGTAGGCAGAGAGGCAGGCACAGAGAGAGAGAGGGGAAGCAGGCTCCCCGCCGAGCAGAGAGCCCAATGTGGGGCTTGATCCCAAGACCCTGAGATCATGACCTGAGCTGAAGGCAGAGGCTTTAACCCACTGAGCCACCCAGGCGCCCTGAAACTCTATTTTTATTAGAACTGTCCTGACTGAAATTTAAGCTAATCAAATGGTTCAGAATTAAGTGATTGCCATAGGGGTTGAATGGACATTCCCATCTGTACTGAACTATTTATGTGCACTTCACATTCCAGAAGGGCTGCTCACCACACACGTTCCCTTAGTTCTATTATGGGTGGGTGATAAGGCTGCATGTCCCTGAGCTATGGTAACTGATAATGGTCTGGCAGAGATGAGGGCAGAGGGGATTCATGCTTTGTCAGCACACAGAAATGAAGGCTGATCAAATGTTTTATATAATGTCTAGACTATTCATAGACTTTCTGGATGCCACAGCTAGAAACAATGTCTCTTGCCTCAAAATTACTCAAATTCATTCAGGCACTGACTGCTTTCTACTCCGTTTTACTGCTATTTTTTTTTTTTTTAAACAGGTCTTAATTCTACCAAGCTTCCTGAAATTACACACACCTGACTTACCTTCATGTCTCTTACAGTATCTGGCTCAGTGCTCAGTAAATCTCAACAGATATGCTACTGATTACCACTCTGAAGGTATCAGGTACAAACACATGGTTTAACTGAAGCTAAGAATTGGTATGCACAGAACAGGGATTGTGAAGAATGTGGCACCTTAGGTTTTTTTTCCTTGTTGTTTTGTTGTTGCTTTGTTTTGTTTTGTTTTTTGTTTTTAAAGCAATGGCATACGTGACCTAGATTGTACTGCCTTTCAAAAAGTTCATGACAATTGTTATTTTTGGTGGTAACCGATGCTTGACGATGTGCCTTACAAGATGAATGCACAGCCAGAAGTCTTTACACGAAGGCAAAGGTTATGCTTTGATCTACTGTTGCAACCACTCTTTTTAGTAGATCACCATTTGTCTCTTGGCCACCTGTGGTTAGCCCAAAGCCACTGCTCAAAGAGCTCATTGCCAATGGTCTCAGAGTGGACTGGCCTGGGGCTATTGTTTCCTATTGGACTACAGGTACATCATTTGGAGCAGATTTGTTTTTTCTTTACAACAAGCTAAAAGCATTTTTTTTTTTTTTTTAAATTACTGCCTTCTCTTTAAGGCTGGCAAGACAATGGCTGCTAAGGGTTTCCCGGATGATGTGATGTGCTCCACATAACCAGAACATCAGAGGTGGGTTCTATCAAATACTACTGAATCTACCCCAGGACTTTATTAGTGAGCTCTTTTTGTTATTTAATGTTTGCTAAGTGTCTAAAGTAGGAGTGATGAAACTGTTCACAAACATAGAGGCTGGTGTCTTCCAGTACTTAGTCAATGTGTGCTGATGGAGGTAGGCTACGACTGCTATTGTCATACTTCCATTAGATAGGAAAGTTAATGCTATGCCGGTCCTCTTAGCACTACTTTTCACAAAGCAAGTTATGATTCAGTGGTAAAAAATCAATGTCACATTGATGCTACAAATAGGCACTTATGTGCATTTATATGAGCAGGAAAGAACAGAAAATGAAGAAACTCACGTTAGGATAATAGTTATGTGACATTTTTGCTTCAGTTATATATAGGATGTTCTGTATGTGGATACTGGATCAGAATGTAAAAAAAAAATTTCTGTGGGTCTCTGTAGAAAAATTTGGGAAAATGCTGCCTAGAGCTTCTGAAAGGCCATGTGTGCCTTCATGGTAAATTTCTCTACTTGTCTATCTTTAGGCGACCAATAGTCTAGACTTAAAACCTAATGACTACTGAGATGCTTTATTTATTTATATTTTATACATTACTTTCTTTTTAATGTTTTATTTAAAATTTTCTTGCCCAGCATAGGGTAATTTTAATACTCCATCTGAAATGGTCTGGACGTAACCAAGGACTCCAACTATGGAATTTCTTCTTGAAAGGCTTTTATTCTTCAAATGAGTTATTTAAAATATAATATCATTTTCTTCATACTACCTATATACCACTTATCCTTGTATTTCTAATTGACTGGAAACCGGAGATCACAATAACCAATACCAAAGCCCTTCAAACAGCAATTACTACTTGTGTGAACTCACAAAAATATTTACTTCAAATTGGTCTTCTCATTTTAATAGTATTTAGGAATAGCATAAATAGCATGCCTTCTACTCAGCATCTGAAGCAAGATTTCCACAATGCTGACTGTTCCTTAAAATATAAGATAAATTTTCTAATATCATGAGATATGAAAAGATTCACACAGAAGGAGCCAAATGTTCCAAAGCAAAGTATGATAACAAATAAGCTATACTCGCTTTCTGAGATGGAGACTTTAAAATTTCAGGAACAAAGTCTAGTTAGCTAGATCCTATTTCTTCCACATTCTATTCACAAGGGCTAAATACAAAAAGGAAAAAAAATATATATATATACCTTCACTGTCCTTGAATTTCTTGATTGCCACAATTTCATGCGTTTCCTGCAAAGGAAAAAAGAGGCAGAAAGTCATTTCCCAGTGTTTTTGAAACCGGGAATCCCAGTTGTCTGGGGGTTATATTCGGGCATAGAACAGCAAGAAACCAGAGAGTAAACAAACAGACCCTCTTCTTTCTCAGGCCTTCATTTCCTGGTTCCAAAATTCTCTTTCTTACCACCCTACAGACATTGTCAGAAAAGGAAAAAAAATAATGGGGCGAGAGAAGGGGATCAAGAGAGGAGATTGGTGATAGACCATGGACAAACCAGAAGTGTCGATATCTTGAGGCTACACAAAAATGCCAGGATGACTGACAATACAATATACCATCATTTGTTACTTCGATCTGAAACCCAGAGAAACATTTTAATTGGGCTTCTAGAGCAGAGAAAAGGCTTCTGCATTACTAGGTAGTTGATGGTAGTAGAATTCCTCTTGAAAGTCTCCTCCCCTCAATTAACTTTTTGTAACAAACCGATCTAGTTATTTTGCTCTCCTGAACAGAAGCAGTTTGTGAGCAGGACCCTACTTTAAACTGAAACATTTCCAAAAAATACAAGAGCTGGAAAGGAAATGGAAATGCTCAGAACTAAGCACCATGAGGTTAAATAACTCCTGTCTAATTCTGGTCTATAAAAGGAATAAAAAAAGCTTTTGGCAAAATAATATATAGATTCTTCAAAGCCAACATGTGATACACAAAGGTCTTCTGAATGACTCAGGTCTGCTTTTTTGTAGTGAAAGTGGGTATACTTTCAGAACTGTAGGAGCAAACCTTTAAATAAAAGAGTGTCCCCCACATCAAAACAAAGTCTTTAAAAATGTACACAATAGCAGGCAATAATCAATAAGGTACAAATCACTAACTTATTAAAAATAAACACTTCTCTTTAGTTTTTTATAAAAGCAAAGGGGGATCATGAAAGCGGTGGTGGGGTGGGGTGAGAAGTGACCATTTCTTAATTCTTATGCTCAACAACAAACCCTGAGTCATAACTAGTTCTGTAAAATCAAATCCTCTCTGTTTTTCATCTGCCCCTTGAAATAAGAAAATACCAGCTTTCATCTTTGTTATAGGAAAAAAAAAATTCATCTGAAAGTGCTATAGGCTACTGAGGAAAAAGGCTGTTAAGAGTATTACATTTTTGTTGTTAATGGAGGACTGATAGGATTGTAGAGTACAGACAGCTTCTGGGATATAATTTTTTTGTACTCGGACTTCCAGGTACTTTCTGATATTGGAAGTGTTTCCTTATTGGGAAGAAATAATGGCAAATTTAAATTGATATGGGGGATATCAGCTAGAATATTAGTACAGGTAGTAGCAGGTAAGTCTGCTAGGTATGCTACGCCCTCTTAACACAGTGATAACCATTTTCTTACCCTGCTCCTTTTCAAAAGGCTAGCCAGCCACCAATGAATGGCATAAGATTAAGAACACTATCAGGAAACTTGGCTCCAGACACAAAGAGGCAGCATGATATGCATCCAGGAAGAGAGTAAAACTGCTCACATTTTGGGGCACCTGGGTGGCTCAGTCCATTAAAAGTCTGCCTTTGGCTCAGGTCATAATCCCAGGTCCCTATATCCAGTCCCATGTAGAGCCCTGTATCGAGCCCTGTATGGTGCTCCCTGCTCGGCAAGGAGTCTGCTTCTCCCTCTACCCCTACCCTCTCTCTAATAAATAAAAATAAAATCTTACCAAACAAAACAAAACAAAAACAAAAAAACCTGCTCGCATTTCAGCTGAGACATCTTCCAAGTCATACCACCCAAGGCATTTTTTAAAATTTAAATTTAATTAATTAACATACAATGTATTATTGGTTCCAGAGGTAGAGGTAATTCATCTGTCTTATAATACCCAGCGCTCATTACATCACATGCCAACACATCTTTTTATTGCATCCTAAATATTAACTTTGTCTGATTTTATAAAAGGTCTTGCTTAGTTTAAATTCGCCCAGGATAGGACTACAAATTTACATTTACTACAAACTTATTTACATCATCCTGAAGAAAGAAATTGATTAATTTCTGGCATCTCATAAATAGAATCCACTGTATAAAAGTTACCTGAAAATGGGTCAAATAAAATTAAGCATTTACTCTTTTATTTTTCCTTTCATCAATACCATGGAAATCCTGTCTCAACATACACACACATACACACTCTCTCTCTCTCTTTCTCTCTCTCTCTTTCTCTCTCTCTCTCTCCCTCTCTCTCTCACTCAATACAGTTTATATATTTAAAGAATGAAACAAAACGGATGAAGTTTTCTACAAAAAACAACTCAATCTTTAGTGGAAACTACATGCATTTAAGAGCAGAAGATGCTGGAAAGAATTTAACATTTTACTTTTATTCAAACTGCTTAAAAAATAATGTAAATTCATTATATAAAACATAAAACATAAAAGGCATAATAACCCTTGCTAGCATTTTGGTTTATTTTTTTCCCAGTAAATTTTTCTCAAATTGGAACAGTAGTATTTGTATACAATGTTATATGTTTTTATTTCACTTGATATTGTAGGAGACACATTTTAACCTGTCATTAAGTAATTTTAAAACAATTATTTTTTAATGGACTGTTATTTAACTGTCAATACTTGAACATCTGCATCTTTATTTCCATAGAGTAAATTCTGCAGGTGATATATCTGGGTCCAACAGTATGAACATTAAAGGCTCCTAATACTGCCAAAACAGATAGACAAAAATATATCATCTCACGGTTTCCTTCAGCAATATATAAGAACACCCACTCTATAACCATAACCAATAGTAAATAAAATCACTGAAAAGAGTCTTCAGACATCAGTGAGGTCAGAGAAGTTTTATTCTATCAACTGGTAAGTGGAAAAAAAGTCCACTAAGCTTAATATTTTTCTTGATGATTCATGGATGTGAACCTGTTGCCAAATTTTGTTACAAATTATCTTCCCCAGATTGTTGTGGTCATTAAATTATTTAGGGTTTGGTTGTTGTTGAATGTAACTTATAATTACACATTTATTGATTTGTTTATAGTCACATTTATTGATATATGCCTTTATGTCCACTACTTTTGTGTTCAAAGTCCTTACTTAGCCTGAGTATGGTTAATATTCATACACATTTATTTATTATTAAAAGATTTTATTTATTTATTTGACAGAGATCACAAGTAGGCAGAGAGACAGGCAGAGGGGGAGGGGGAAAGCAGGCTCCCTGCTGAGCAGAGAGCCCTACACGGGGCTCAATCTCAGGACCCTGAGATCATGACCGGAGCTGAAGGCAGAGGCCTAACCCACTGAGTCACCCAGGCGCCCCTCATCCACCTTTATGTCTCAATATTTAAATGATTTAATTTCTTTCCTTAATCTTTATCCACCTGTCATTTAATATATGATATGGTGAAGGAATCTGTATTTAATATAATTCTAAATGCTGAATCAACTTTCCCAACACTCTTTACCATGGATTTTTAGTTCTTTGTTGTATCTTAGCATTCTTACATACTCGATTTTCTTTCAGAGCTTTCTAGTTTAGTCTACATGATTGATCTGTTGATTCTTATGTTAGAACCAACTTAAATTATTGTGACTTGTTTTATTTATTTTTATTTAAGAGACAGAGAGAGCACACATAAGCACACATAAGAGGGGAAGGGAAAAGAAAGGGGAAAGAATCTCAAGCAGATTCCACATGCTGAGCCCTACACGGGGCTTGATCCCACAACCCTGAGGTCATGACCTGAGCTGAAACCAGGAGTCAAACGAACACTTAACCGACTGAGCCACCCAGGTGCCCCTACTGTGATCTGTTCTAAATTCATCTGGATCCCTGTAAAGTTGTGTCACTGCAAAGCCCTGGAAAGTGCCGTTCACATCATAGACATTGTAGGTTTGTATGTTTATTGAAGCAACCTTCCAGCACATAGGAGTAAAAAGTCTATAACAAAATCCATGTACTTCTTCTTCTCCATATACTTTCTTCTCTTTCTAAGAGGGAGAAAATGGAGTCTGAGGCCCATTTGATTTTTGTTCCAACATATGTAACTTTGTTTCTGCCTAGATCCTATTAGGGCTTTTTCTTGGAATAAAAATTTTAAATTACCAGAATATACCTAGAAGAGAGTGGGGGGGGGTGTTGAACTAATATTATCTGGAAATCAATGAAATTAGAAAAATTTTCTTCTAGCAACCTTAAATGTTGTTTCTACACCTGTTTTCCTAGTATTTTTCACTAGAAACCTTGTAACTTTTAGATTTGCTCTCTCATTGTTGCTTTGTATGTTTTATTCACTACTGTGTAAGTGCCTAGAACAGCAGGCACATAGTAGGTTCAGTAAGTATTTCATGAGTGAATTAATCAAAACTGCTACATCAATTTTGTTCTTTTATTTCCTCCATTTTAGGTTTCTCTATCATCCTATTTCAGCTGACTTAGACTTCAATTTTTGCCTTGTTTCAGCTTGCTCTCACTATAGAGGGCATATCCTCCCGGCTCTCCTTCAGAAGACTGCATCTGCTTGTTACAAAAAATCATTTTTAGAACTATGCGTTGCTTCTAAATCTTCAGAGCAGGGGTTTCTTTATCTTCCCATGTCTTTTCATAGGGTACACGTCCCTGCCCCCTGCTTTTTTTAAACTCATCCCTACTAAGATTGGAAGAGATTCACTAGGTCTGGCACCTGAAAGGCTAGTTGGGGTTTTTCAGCCACTGGGGCTTCAAATGCTGTTTGATGCACCTGAGACCAAGGTCAAAACCTGGATTCCCAGCAAATTTGTTCTCATTGGGTTGGCTGGGCTGAGGCTGAATCACCTGTGCAGAGCTGTGAGAATAAGCTGTTTGCTGAACCCACACTTCCTAGCACATCCTGTTCCCTCTCCTCTACATTCACCACACCTTGCCAAGGGGGTCTGTGAATCCTAGGCTGCAACTTGCTGCTTCCAATCCTTCTCAGTTTTTTGCCATACTGTATTTGGGGTGCTTAGTCTCTGAAAAGATCTGGCAA